GGGGTTATATTGGGGTTATGTAAGGCCCAAAATCAACACCAAGATTCTGTTTCTGGATTCTGTGTATAATTTTGGTATGGGGTACTTCAGATCGACCTCGAAACGCTGTTGGCAATTGTGTCGGCTCCTGTATGACAAGGCTTCCAATTGAAGGGCTCAAGGCGCAGGGCGCAGGGGTTCAGTTTGGGCACTGTCTCAAACTGATGCTTGTCACTTTGGGCAATCTAGACTGCCAGTCGAAATTATGGGCCACATAGCTTGTAGGGTAGCATGGAATCCTGAGGGCTTGGAACGGGTTTGGGGGAGGTAGCTTGCATGATACGAACTGCGGCAACCACGGTCAACAATTAGCCTTGCCAAGGGACCGTAGGGGTGCCTCTCGTAGTTTAGCATCGTCCCCAATATATTCCCTGATAAGGAACCCATGTCCATCACATTTTGTAGGAAGTATTGATTGTAGCTCATATGGATTTGCAGGGGATCCCCTTGGGCTGCGAGAGTTGCGCTGGGAGAATTCAAGCGATTACGTCACAACTGTCACAAACCCTGTGGAGACCGAGTTTCCATGTCATTTGCTACTTGTTCTTTTTCACGTGTTCCTCCATTGTTGGTGAGTAGTATAAGTGAACCCTAAGCCACATAACTCCTTCATCATCCCCCAACCCCTTTATCACCCCTATATAGCCCCTTTATCCCCATCATAATCCCTATATGAACCTTTTATAAACCTTATATCGCATGGGGAAGATTTCGCGGCCGAGGCGCTAATCAACAACAAGCCGCGCGCTGCAACGGTCACGGCCAAGGGCGATGTCCGGATCCTAGTGGTTTAGGGTTTAGGGTTCAGGGTGTCTGGTCTTGCTGAGAGCGATCTGGGAATCATCGGCTTCATGACATAGTAAGTGTCAAGTCCATTCTCAGACAGGTCTGCTAGCCTAGCATATTGCAGCAAACCAATGTCTGGAACAGGGAAGTCCCCTAAACCAACCCGAAGCTTGAACACGGAAAGCCTGACGCCCAATGATTTTGGACAGGGCTAGTCTGGCTTGAAGGTTGGCCTTCTGCTGCGAGATGATGAATGGCAATGCTTTAAGTTAGATGGTTTTAGAATTATGTGCACTATTTGAGGGGTCCCAATATTCAGGATTTAGTATATTGGGGTCCATATTGATTGGGGTCCCAGTATTTCTGGAAACTACCATATGTGTTGCGAAAAGGTCTCCAAGATTGCAAAAGGTTGGGCCCTGCGCGTCCCTGAAAGTCGAGTCAAATGGCCGTTTCTCCATATGTACTATAGTCTAAACTCCTTAAAGGGGGTTATATAGGGACTATATAGGGGACTATTATAGGGGTTATTAAGGGGGATGCTAGGAGTTTAGACTATAGTTCATATACTCTTCATATAATCCTCATTTATAGAAAAACCACCAAAAAGGGTACCCCTAATTCTGGAAACAGGGGGGGCTCTGGGATAATCGTTGGGGAAAATTGTGAATTATCATGGAGCATAGTCCCTATATGTTCCTATAAAGCAATGTAAAACCGTTACAATTTTGTTTGTATGCGGCCCCTATATCTATCCCAGTTGGTATAACCCCTGTATAGCCTCAGTCGCATTTCACTTTCCATGTTCTTTTCCATTTTACCTTCAACTATTGGGGTAGTATCCCTAGATCCTAAATGCTGAACCTTTAACCCTAAACCCTTAACTTTAACTCTAAACCCTTAGCCCTAAACGCTGACCGCTGAAACCTGATCTGGTTGAATTTGCAAAAAGGCCAAGCTTCTCAGCATTGACAGCCGTAGCTTCAAGCGTCTCCCCGGCTCCCATTAATCGCCTCCCAAAAGGTTTAGGGTTCAGGGTAGGGGTACGTAGATATGATGTAGGGTCATATAGGTACATGGTATTTGTGGATCGTATATTGTATATGGATTATGTAGGGGTATACTTGGCTTACTAAGGTTAAAAATGGAGGTGTATAAGTGTGAAGTGGTGGTAAACATTGGTTAAATAGGGTCCTATGGGGGTGTACGTATAGGCATGTAGGGCTATATGGGGTGCATGGGTTATACAGGGTCAGTTGGGGGTATACGCGGGGGACGAAAAAAGCAAATGAAAAGTGCTGTATTGTTTAGGGTCTAAGGTAGCTCACCCATTCTCCTGATGAATAATTCTCCTATGGTCGTATGATGGTATTATATTGGGGTTGCATGTAAAAGTGAGGCGGGGCGGGGTTAACGGTTAACGCTTACTGTACCAGAGGGAGGGGATTGCCCTTGAGGTCCAGAAGTTGTTCTTTAAAGGATGCTTCCAATAAGCCCATTAAACCCTAACCGAGTTTGTTTTGCCAGGGTTCCAGGGGGACTTGGGATATGTCTGAAGCAATCGCCCCTGTTAAGCCGTTGTTCAGCTTCTGGTTCAATGATGCCTTGTGCTTGGAGCGTCGGGGGGGATGAGCAAGTATGCTTACTACGCTTATAGGCCATAGGAGCTATAGCCTAAACTCCTTGAGGCAGGGTTTATAGGGGATTGTGTGGGGGGGATTACGAGGGTTAGGGGGATACTAGGAGTTCAGACTATAGTTCATATAAGAACCACAGATATCCAAAATGCCAACCCACTTACTGAGCCCCCTGATCCTCCGGTGCACTCTTAACACTAGGGTACCATTTTGTGGGTCCCTATGTATGGACTGTAGTCTATTGGGGTCTCCGTTGGGGTCCAGCTATTTGTGGTCAGGGTTTAGTTTTGGGTGTAGGGCGCTAGGGCAAGCTCGGTGACGGCTTACGATCATGACCCCAGATGTTCCCACTCAGCTAGCTCTGCACTTGAAGATTCATCATACAGTCTGCATTTTGCAAGTAGGTTGGACATCATAGCAATAAGAGATAATCACTGGAAAATCATGATACAACTGATGCTGACACAACAAAGCCACACGACTGCTGCAAGGATACCAGCAAAGTAAGTCAGAATGCAACACGGATGCCACCGTGCTGTCCATGTAGAGGCCGGCAAGAAGCGAGGCAAGCTACAATAACTGCATCTGCTTCCGGGCGCTGAAGCCGCTTTTCGAAACAACAGTCTTGCATCCCCTTCAATCCATCTCTGTAGACTCCAAACCTGGGGCCCAGGTTCCTGTGAAGCCTGTTGTGGACAGCTATCTGAAGGTATAGCCCCTCTTAAGTAGATAGAATATGGCTTTGGGTTTAGTATAATAAGATCCCCATATACCCCATATTCTATGGACTTAAGGGGGGGTCTAGAGTTCGACTTAGTTCCGGCCATACGGTACGAAATATGCACCGCGGGCTACCTCTGCCCAGACACATACCGAACGCAACAGTGCACCAATTTCAGAGGACGCTGGATGTTGCGCGTTGGTCGCGGGCGCAGAATCCGCTAAAGGAATGGTGTTCGGTTGAGTGGTATTTCATTTAGGGATACTATGGTACCCAATATAGAGTAAGATTATATCCTCCTTTTGGGTATAGTATTTTACATAATAAGGAATCGAACCCCTAAACCCAAACCCTAAACCCAAACCCTAAACATTTGTATACAAAGAATAGAATCTTACTAACGCCTTTGCCAGGCCTCATCAACGTTGCGGACCTCATGGCAAAGTCCTCAAAGTGCGCCTGCGTCCTATCTCCCGGCTAGTCTAATACCAATGGGGTTTAGGGGTTAGGGTTTGGGGTAAGTATATGAATTAAAAAACAACAAAGAATATTTAGTAACAATAGTCATTATAATAGTAAGAATGATAGCTCTTAATGTTGGCTCCCGTATTTGCTGTAAGAAAGGCTTGTGAGACAAAAACACGTCTCACGTTTCCAAAGAAAAGGTACCCGGCGGGCCAAATACCCAGTTGCCTAAAGAGATAGCCTTGGGCTGACAGCAGCATTGGCATTGTACAAAAGAGCCCGTAATTTGGACAACTACCTGCTTCGCACCTTGTTTGGAAGAGTGGCAAAGGAAATAGAAGCTTCCCAAGAAACTATGTTCGGCTCAATTTTTCCATCTTCAGAACCAAATAGACCATGGCCATCCTGTCAGGTACCAGTGATGGCTGAGGCCTCGGGGGCCCGGCCTTTGCAGAAATTAGAAGGAGAAAGCCTGCAGGTGATGCAATCTGAGCTGTCAAGAGTGCGCTGCCTGCGGCCTTAAATCTTTTTAGCCTCCCCAAAGATTGATAAGGAAGTAGCAGCAGATCACCCTAAATAGTGGCTTCCATTTGATTGCCATTATCCTTATATAATCCTTTTATAACCCCTATAACGGGATCCCGAAGTAAGTTTGGACGGCCAGGTTCTGCAGGAGTGCGCGGATGTTCTTAGAGTCAGCTATGCGGCAGGATCCTTTTGGAACTGCTGCAGCTTTTCACCGCCTTCCCCGCGCCTACGTCATAGGCCTTTGTCTGGACTTTGTTCATTCCGCGGAGAAATCCTAATCTTACCCTTACCATTGACAATGGTTTCTGCACTTCGATGCTTTTTGCTTTTTTTGCTCGCCGTCATCCGACACGATCTGGCGCGGAGCCCCATCGAGCAAAATCGAGTGGGCTGCGGATGACTTGCTCACAATCATGGCTGCGATTGTGCAGGCGTTATTGATGCGTTGTCGCTGTGGCAAAGCCAGGAGGTTCCTCGGGTCCCACGCTGATTGGCCCAGCATGTTGCCTGACATACCAGCTCCCATGAATCCCACAGGGGATTCTGCAGTCAGTTATGCTTCTGTTCATCATAGACTCCAATCTTAAGTCCCTGAACTGAAAGTATAATGACTCCCATGAAGCCTGTAGTATCCTTATAGAACCCCTATAATACCCTTATCTAACCCCTTTAGTATCCCTATATACCCCCTATAATATCCCTATATAACCCCTAAACCCTAAAACCCTAAACCCGGCAAGTTTGAAAATGTTCATGGGGCTCGTCTACGTGGGAACCGTGGAGCCACTCGAGAGACCGATGTCAGGGCCTGGAGCGTGAGCCCCAGTTTAGGGGTTTAGGGTTTAAGGGTTTAAGGGTTTAGGGGTTTAGGGGCTTGAAATCAAAAATCCCTAATAGTGGAGAATCAAATGGACAAGACAATGGAACATGAAATGGAAACTGGGCTTATATGGGGATCATGTGTGATTCAGGGTTTTTATGCGTTCATGCTTTCGAGTCTCTGTTTTATTCTGGATTTGGTAAGCGCATCTGAACATAGTTTGATAAGATTGTACGTTAGGTCAGGTCCACCCCACACTCTGCATAGGGGGGTTGAGGGTTTAGGGCCTAGGGTTTTCAATAGGAATATACGAGGACCCTAATGGAATCACCCTGATCTCTTATGGTTACTATTACTGCAGGGGGGGGTACTTAATCAGTACATCTTTAAGCAGTGAGGAGGAACTTCTTAACTGGGCGGCCCTAAACCCTAAACAGAGTTAGAATATGGGGGTTGCATGGGAGTCCGTATTCGGGATTCCGGAGGGTCCATTTTGAACATGTCTTCAATGCAGGGGGGTTTCATAAATTCGGGGTTCCTTTCAAGGCTTCCGTGTAGTAAGGATGATATTTTTTTCAGGGGTCCATTTTGGGGCCCATCATTTTTGAAAGCTACCACATGCTTAGACCGTGAAAAGCTTTCTTGGCCAGAAGATATGAGCTACTGTCAATATTCGTCTAACCAAGAAAGAGACCATTAAAGTTGGACGTAGGAGTCTTTTTGGTAGCTTAGTGTAGTCCCTAATATATTCCCTGATCATGCCCATAAATAACATGGGAAATATTGATCCCTGTAATCCCCCCTGTATATAATCCC